GATGTACCTGCTTCAGTACTTTGTAGATGTAAATTGCGTAACTTTCCTTCCTCCTGCGCTTCTTTTTCTTGTCAGATTTTGAGATATTCTTCTGCGCCTTGCCCGCTTTTTTGGCAGCCTTACCGCTAGTTTTGGGTGGCATTTTATTGTGAGATGAGGCTGAGTATAATCGACACCAACGCTCGACTAACGGAACGACTGCAATTCTCTGGCCGTATTTAAGACAGGTGACGTTACGACCGTAGACTCCGCCCCCAGGCGTTTGCCGGCAAACGTTCGCGTCGATTGGTCGGTTAGTTCATATAAATACAACGTTCGCGGAGATCATGTTGTGCATTTGCAAGTTCATAGTCGACGTCGTTCGTTTAGCAGATTAACAAATTGAATATGTCAGGACGCGGAAAAGGCGGTAAAGTTAAGGGAAAGGCAAAGTCCCGATCCAGCAGGGCCGGCCTACAATTTCCCGTCGGTCGTATCCACAGGTTATTGCGAAAAGGGAATTATGCTGAACGCGTCGGTGCCGGAGCTCCCGTATATCTAGCGGCCGTTATGGATACTTGGCCGCTGAAGTTTTGGAATTGGCAGGCAACGCTGCTCGCGACAATAAAAAGACCCGTATTATTCCACGTCATCTGCAATTGGCCATCAGAAACGACGAAGAATTGAACAAATTGCTTTCAGGCGTCACAATTGCCCAAGGAGGAGTTCTCCCTAATATCCAAGCTGTTCTTTGCCGAAAAAGACGGAGAAGAAAGCCTAAAAAAAAAAATCTTCTGAACATACAATCGGCCCTTCTCAGGGCCAACAAGTAATTTAATAAGAAAATGAAGGGATTATCATTTGTATATGGAAAAATTTTCTCAGGGTGATATCGGATCGGTTGTGGCGCGAGAAGTTGGCAATAACTAAATTATTTAATCGAGGCATCTCATCGTCGCATTCACGTCCTAATATTCGCCGGTATCTCGATAATGGGACATATCGGGACCGAAATCGTCGATTATTGTAATTCAAAGAGCCAAAACGTATAAGTCGATCAATTTCTCATATTCCGATAAACTCATTTATGTGAGTGTTTCTTTTATTTTGTATAAAAAAAAATAGAAAATTAATGTGGCGGTTCAATCGGCAGATCCATTCTTTCTCACGAGAGTATATGGTGGTTCTGAAAGAACCGTTTTTTTTTTTCTTTGTATTGTATTTTCGTTCAACCTGTACCGTGGTAATTGCTGCGGAGTGTTTAACCACCGAATCCGTACAAAGTGCGTCCTTGTCTCTTTAATGCATATACGACGTCCATTGCAGTGACTGTCTTCCTTTTAGCGTGCTCGGTGTAAGTGACTGCATCCCTGATTACGTTCTCTAAAAAGACTTTGAGCACTCCTCGAGTTTCTTCGTAAATCAATCCGGATATACGTTTTACTCCTCCACGTCGCGCCAATCTTCTTATGGCCGGTTTCGTAATTCCCTGGATGTTATCCCTCAAAACTTTACGATGCCTTTTCGCTCCTCCTTTTCCCAATCCTTTACCACCTTTACCGCGTCCAGTCATTTTTCAAGATTCTCTCGCACGTCGAACTGTTAAAGCGAACGGGCTGTTGCCAACTGACGGTACGTCTCTCGTGACGCCCGGTTTTGTTAGCGTTGTCGTCCCTCCTATTGGTCTATCAATTGGCCAATCAGACTGTTTCGTATTTCGAGCCCATATAAATATAACTGTTCGCGGTGTTTACCTCCGCTCACTATAATATTGTCCGTTGCAATATTCACGTCGCTGCTATATAGATAATTTATATTCAGTTATCTGAAATTTAACGTAATGGCGCGTACCAAGCAGACGGCTCGTAAATCCACCGGAGGTAAAGCTCCCAGGAAGCAATTAGCCACGAAGGCTGCCCGTAAAAGTGCTCCTGCTACTGGCGGAGTTAAGAAACCTCACCGTTATCGTCCGGGAACTGTGGCTCTCAGAGAAATTCGTCGTTATCAGAAAAGTACCGAATTGTTGATCAGAAAATTGCCTTTCCAACGGCTGGTCCGTGAAATAGCGCAAGATTTCAAGACCGATTTGCGATTCCAAAGTTCTGCTGTAATGGCACTCCAAGAAGCTAGCGAAGCGTACCTGGTCGGACTATTCGAGGATACGAACTTGTGCGCGATCCACGCTAAGCGAGTAACGATCATGCCGAAGATATACAGCTGGCAAGACGTATTAGGGGGCGAACGTGCCTAATGGAATTGACGGATTTACTATTTGCCGGAAAGAGAGAGAGAGAGAGAGAGAGAGAGTACGGCGTGCGATAATAGGTTATAAAAAAAAAAACGGTTTCTTTTCAGAACCATCATATAGTATGTTCAGAAAAAGGGGATCGTGTATTATGTTAAGTATATCAGATTGTTGTTTGTACGCGTGCAATTTCGACACTATTATCGTGTATGCAAAATAGCGCTAAATGGTTATACGATAGTCGCTAGTTATTACCCGTTATCCTATATCGAAGGATTGTGGTGCTTTGTAGTAAACCGTTACATTGATATTATTCTAATAACGTACGAATTGTATGTATGTGTATGGAAGTAAAATAACTTATAAGTAGCATGTGATTATAATGTAGATAATTCGACATAATATAGATATTTTGCCGTATATATTGCTTAGGCGTTTAGGCAGGCTGTTAGCGTGTAATACGTAACATTAGGTACTTTCACGTAGATCAAAAGTCAGTAATGCGTACGTCTAATAATTAATATGTAGTAAGAGATGAATTTATAACTCGATCGCTCGTATATATATATAATATTTTTCTACTCTGGCTTATTTATTACGAATAATAGATTGATGTCTCATATTATTATCTATTTTGTCATATTACAGGAGTAATGTTAAAATTATCGCGATATATTTCGCGACTGTGCACGTTCGGATGTACGCCAGACATACCTCCGTATAATTGCGATTATCTAAAATACCTTATCCATTAGCCGTATACCGACAGTATAATTGTATTACGAATAGTCGTAGATTGTTAATTTCATGAAATATCTAATTATATAACGTATTCGTATAATATAAATTAGATCAAAAAGCCGGACGATTAGGTCCAAAGCGGATACCTTGCACGTTTCACCTTATAATTTTATCGTGTACGTAGCGTACGTGATTCAAGTCGCGAAGTTAAATGTGTATTTCAAATTATGCAGATTTCATATTCGTCAGGTTTTAGCTGTTGCTCGTATGCAATTATCAAGCGACTCAAAAAAACCAACAGATACGACCGCAGGCTTGGCAGAATTGAAGCAGTCGAAATCGGTTTTCGCTGCAAAGTCGGAGCGTTCAATGTTCGGTCCGACCGAAATGACTTGGGTCACGACGCTGAATTTACCTCTCACATTCATTCGACATTCGTTCTCTTAGCGAGATCGTCGATCAGTGATTGCAAAAGATCGCGCGTATACAATAATCTGTCTCCTCTTCACGACTCGTAAACATGGCAGATACGGAAAAACCAGAACTTTACGCCGCGTCGGCTACGGCTACCGCGAATTCTGCGTCGCCGACGTCGCAGTCGTCTGCGAAAAAGGAGAAAAAACCGAAGAAATCCGAGGGCGAAGCCCGTCTCATCCTCCTACTAGCGAAATGGTCATCAACGCAATTAAAGGATTAAAAGAGCGTGGCGGGTCGTCTCTGCAAGCTATCAAGAAATACATAGCCGCTAATTACAAAGTAGACGCTGAGAAAGTTGCGCCTTTCATCAAGAGGTACTTAAAAATCGTCGTCGCGTCTGGAGCTTTAGTACAGACGAAAGGCAAAGGAGCTTCCGGATCGTTCAAGCTAGCTTCGTCATCGGCTGGCGGAGCGTCGAAAACTTCATCATCGTCAGCCGCAAAGGTTGGCGAAAAGAAGAAGAAATCCGCGACCGGCTCAAAGAAGAGCGGAACCGTAGCTAAGAGAGCTAGCGGTCGAAATCTGCGAAGAAGGCATCTCCGAAGGCTAAGAGAACCCGGCGGTGGCCGGTGGTGCGGCCGAGAAGAAAGCTTCTCCAGCTAAGACAAAGAAAAGTGGGAAATCGGCGACGTCGGCTAAAGCTTCTTCTGCTGCACCTTCTGCAGCGGCTGCAAAAAAATCTCCTTCGAAGGCGAAGAAATCCAGCAAGGGAGCTCCGACCAAGAAGCCAAAAGCACCAAAACCGAAAACGGCGAAGGCTGCAACATCGCCAAAAAGGAAGGCCGCTTCACCCAAAAAGAAGAAATAAAAAAAAAAATTTAGACGTGTTGCAACGTCGTAGATTACGGCTACGTCGGTTCGAGACGTTATATTTATGCGAGAGGATGCTATACGTCCCCGCGGATTGAAAATGGCCCTTTTCAGGGCCACCACTATTACTATAAAAAGGATACAGAATATTTACGAATTAGCAATTTTGTATCGAAATATACATGTACAACTGCGGCTCGTACGTGCGTTGATGTTTTTTTTTTTTTTTTTTTTTTATTAAATTCGAGTATTATTCGTTTACGATTAGGTATTTATAAGCAAGTGGTAATGTTAGGCGTCGTCACCATCGATATTGCTTTTAAGGGTATAAATAAGTATGTATTGTGTTAATTAAACGAATGAACGTTAAACAGTCGATTGCGTCGTAAGGATATCCCCTTTTTTTTACGCTTTCGTTTACCATTAAATAATCCGGTCGGGGTCTTATATCAGACGTTATTGCTTTAGTGGTGTATGTATATCACGAATAATCATCTGGTATTCAAGTACCAATAATATATATGTTGCGCGTACGGTGATATCATTATCTTTACTTGATAACTTTAGTGGTTCTGAAAAGAACCGTTTTTATGTTGTAAGTTGTTTGTTGATGTTGTTGTTGTCGTCGTAGTTACATATTACTTCGAACTGGTGTACTTGGTTACGGCTTTGGTACCTTCGCTGACGGCGTGCTTGGCCAATTCTCCTGGTAGCAATAGTCGAACGGCTGTTTGAATTTCTCTGCTAGTTATCGTGGCACGTTTGTTGTAATGTGCAATCGGGATGCTTCCGCTGCGATACGTTCGAAAATATCGTTGACGAAGCTGTTCATGATGCTCATCGCTTTGCTGGAATACCGGTATCTGGATGTACCTGCTTCAGCACTTTGTAGATGTAAAATTGCGTAGCTTTCCTTCCTCCTGCGTTTCTTTTTCTTATCAGACTTGGAAATATTTTTTTGAGCCTTACCGGCCTTTTTAGCTGCTTTACCGCTAGTTTTGGGTGGCATCGCGTTCGATTTACACAAAAAGTACGATCTTTACTGACACAATATCGTGATCTATAATGGAAAGGTGTGCGGATAAACGGCGAGCTTTAAACAGCCACGACGTTATCCGACATAGACTCCCGCCCCTTACGGGTGACCGACAAACGAAAACGGTGATTGGTCGGAGTAGTTATATAAATATACTCGTACCTAAAGACATTGCCATTCTATTCTATTAATTCGGTCAACGACAGCAGATTGTAGTCGTCGATTCGCAAGTCAAAAAAGAAAATAATAAACAAATAAACATGTCCGGACGAGGGAAAAAGGCGGAAAGTGAAAGGAAAGGCAAAATCCAGGTCTAGTAGGGCCGGTTTGCAATTCCCTGTAGGTCGTATACACAGATTATTGCGTAAAGGAAACTATGCCGAACGCGTCGGTGCCGGAGCTCCTGTGTACCTTGCCGCCGTTATGGAGTACTTGGCAGCCGAAGTGTTAGAGTTGGCCGGCAACGCTGCTCGCGACCATAAAAAAACCAGGATCATTCCACTCATCTGCAGTTAGCAATCAGGAATGATGAAGAATTAAACAAGTTACTTTCCGGCGTAACTATCGCCCAAGGCGAGTTCTTCCGAATATTCAGGCTGTCCTATTGCCGAAAAAGACAGAGAAGAAAGCCTAAATAATAATAATAATAAGAAAATAACGTCAAAACTAGAAATCGGCCCTTCTCAGGGCCACACAATTCGTTTGTTGAAGAAAAATAGAGATCATCGGATCAGGAAACAAAAAAAAAAATCACGTAATATTTTGCCGATATTCCTTCATGTGTTTGGGATTCAAGTAACAACAGCCCAATAACCGCATGATACAGTGTGATGTTACGTTTTCTACGATACGGATCGTGACATGGAAAATGCAACAAATAATACCAATTCTTACTTACCGTAACATTTTATGTTTACCTAGCATCGATGGGTTGTGGAGCTCGACTATATGGAGATACCTTGGAGGGATAGTTACTTTCTAGAGGTACTGTCGGAATGATAGAACTTTATTCCAACGCAATTTTACATACAATGCCGCTAGTGTCTATAACGACAATCACGTTAACTCTCCCTCTCCCCCCCCCCCCTCTCTCTCTGTCTCACACATTGCTCTTCCCCCCACTCCTCAAGGGTATGAGGTTGCCTGGAACAGGGGTGGTGGAGGGACCGCACAGGGTAGGAGGGTGTGTGGTGTGTGTGCGCGCAACATCAGTTCCGAGCTAGCAGCCGTTGCGAGTGTATACTTGCACGACTGCGACACACCCGGACATATTGAGCAATCTTATTGCGATAGATTGGTTGTTTGTCATTTACGATGGCGAAAATTGAGAAGCTGGCTAACCAGCTGAAAGAGAAGAAAGATGCTGTCGCCATGCTGGCAGAGCAGATGCGAAACCTGCAAGAAGCCTTCTTGCAAGCACAACAGGAGATCGAGGACCTGAACGGAAGCTCCGCAGGGCCACGAAGAAGGCCGCAAAGAAGACCGAAGAAGGCGAGGCAGAGGACCACCAGGCTACGTCGGACGAGATGGACGCTCAAGAAGAGGACACCCAACGGACCGAAGAGGATAGGACCACGACAGAGACAGCAAGCAACGACGACACCGATTTCAGTGTCGCCACCAGACGGAAAAAAAAAAGCGGGTGCGAATTTCCTCCTCCGAAGACGAGACGCCAAGGCAGCCAAAGATGCCAGCTGCCGCCACCAAGAACGAGTCCTAGAGCAGCCAGGACCGCCGATGCAAACATGTGCCAACTGATCCAGAGCTATCTAACACAAAGACGGTTCGCGGTGAGGATTGGTACATGCCATTCAACACGACGACAGCTGGTAGCAGGCGTGCTCCAGGAGTCAGCCTCAGTCCCCCCTGCTCTACAACATCTATACTCATGACGTACCGAAGACAGCTCACACAATGCTGGCCCTATATGCAGATGACATTGCTATCGCCGCTAAGCATCGACGACCCGAGATTATCCGTAGCAGACTACAGGATGAACTGGACTGTTGCGTGAAATGGAAAATCCGTATCAACGTCCAGAAGACGCAGGCAATCTTCATCCAACGAAGAAGGATTGCAAGCCCTCTCGAAGCATCCATCATCGACGAAGATATCCAGTGGAGCGACAAGGTCAAATATCTGGGGATCGTATTTGACAAGTCCCTCACCTGGAAAGACCACACATAGAAGCTGTCATCGCAAAGACCAGAGCAGCCATGGCTCAACTCTACCAATACTGGGTAGACACAGCCGGATGCCGCTAGCGACCAAGCTACGGCTGATCAAGGCCATCGCCAGACCTCAGCTCGCTTACGCCTCCGCGGTCTGGGGGTACGCTGCTCTAGAGATGAAGCTACTCCGGATCGCCACCAACCGATCCATCCTACGTAAGAAACCTCAACCTGCGTAGAGGACCTGCATTGGGACACCATTCACGAGTACATGAGGAAAAAAAGCGGAGAAGACCTTCCAGAAAGCTCAGGACCACCCTAACGAGCAGCTACGATTGCCTCATGAACTACGATCCGGACGAGAGGCATCGCAACCGCAGAACCAGGTACCCTAGACCAAGGTCCCAGTTGGCACCCGCTAGTTGGAACCTTGACTAGGAGACTAGGAGAACCCGCGGTTGCTGCAACATCAAAAGTATCTGAAAACCGTCCTGTAGCCGCGACATCCCCGACTGGTACTAGAACAACCCGACGACAGAACTGGGTGGTCGGGGTCAGTGTGTCAGGTCGGTATGCAACCTGCAACCGACGGTCACGGTCACGCGCGCGTAGAGGTAAACGAACCGGTATAATCGATTGCGTTTCAATAAAAACAACGAGCACTAGAGACGTGGCTAGAGAAGTGCAAGTATCAAAACTAAAGTGTGGCAAGCGCTGCGTGAAGAGGGGCTGTATCCGTTTCACGTCTAACGTGTACAAGCCCTTCAACCTGACGATTTTCCAGCAAGAGTGCGGTTTTGTGAGTAGTTGTTGCATCAACATGACAATAATCCGGACTCTTTGAAGTGCATATTCGTGTGACAGACGAATCTATGTTCACGCGTCGGGCACATTTTCAACAAACATTTTCGGTGAATGATAGGGCTGGCATGGTGAACGGTATGCTCATTGGACAATTTATTCTCCCAAATCGATTGGACGGGATGCAATACCTAGACTATTTACGCAACACATTTACCTTCCTTGTTAGCCTACGTCTGCTCGGTAGCGCATCAGCTGATTTCATTTTCTGTTGGAGCGGTATGATTTCTGGCAGAGACGTACTTAGCCCTTCTGGTCAACTGGAGAGAGAGTAATTTCACCAATATTTTTTTATTTACTCGGTCGTTGTCGTTTCACTACACATTACCTTTGTTATTTCAAGGGTAGTTGTTTCTGAAAAGGAAAACCCCAACTTCGCGGACATCCCGTATATGCCGCATCCGCGTCGCTCACCGAGGCGCGCTCTATCGCGTCACACCCGTTATTAAGAGAGGCACATCTACTCCCGTCGTTTACCCGCGCCCAGTGCAGCGAACCGAGTCGTGGCGTATCAAAGAATCAGATATGCGGCACCCGCGCCTCAGCCCGAGGCGTTGTTGTCAACCGCGTTACGGCCCTTATTAAGAGAGGCACATCTACTCCCGTCGTTTACCCGCGCCCAGTGCAGCGAACCGAGTCGTGGCGTATGAAAGAATCAGATATGCGGCACCGCGCCTCAGCCCGAGGCGTTGTCAACCGCGTTACGGCTCTTTATTAAGAGAGGCACATCTACTCCCGTCGTTTACCCGCGCCCAGTGCAGCGAACCGAGTCGTGGCGTATGAAAGAATCAGATATGCGGCACCCGCGCCTCAGCCCGAGGCGTTGTTGTCAACCGCGTTACGGCCCTTATTAAGAGAGGCACATCTACTCCCGTCGTTTACCCGCGCCCAGTGCAGCGAACCGAGTCGTGGCGTATGAAAGAATCAGATATGCGGCACCCGCGCCTCAGCCCGAGGCGTTGTCAACCGCGTTACGGCTCTTTATTAAGAGAGGCACATCTACTCCCGTCGTTTACCGCGCCCAGTGCAGCGAACCGAGTCGTGGCGTATGAAAGAATCAGATATGCGGCACCCGCGCCTCAGCCCGAGGCGTTGTCAACCGCGTTACGGCCCTTTATTAAGAGAGGCACATCTACTCCCGTCGTTTACCCGCGCCCAGTGCAGCGAACCGAGTCGTGGCGTATGAAAGAATCAGATATGCGGCACCCGCGCCTCAGCCCGAGGCGTTGTCAACCGCGTTACGGCTCTTTATTAAGAGAGGCACATCTACTCCCGTCGTTTACCCGCGCCCAGTGCAGCGAACCGAGTCGTGGCGTATGAAAGAATCAGATATGCGGCACCCGCGCCTGAGCGCGAGGCGTTGTCAACCGCGTTACGGCCCTTATTAAGAGAGGCACATCTACTCCGTCGTTTACCCGCGCCCAGTGCAGCGAACCGAGTCGTGGCGTATCAAAGAATCAGATATGCGGCACCCGCGCCTCAGCCCGAGGCGTTGTCAACCGCGTTACGGCCCTTTATTAAGAGAGGCACATCTACTCCCGTCGTTTACCCGCGCTTCATATAACCGAGAGGCGCAGGTTT